TCAACTCCCAGAATTCTCCAGCCAGCAGAGCTGGCTGGAGAATTCTGAGAGTTGAAGTCCACAAGTCTTAAAGTTGCCAAGGTTGGAGACCTCTGTTCTAGTGGACAATAGTTGGAGACTTCTAGTTGGAGACCTCTGTTCTAGTGGACAATACTATGTGCATCTCAAATCCTATGCCTGGAACCAATTAGATCATACCTAGACAACATAACATTTTTTGTCAGGCAAAAGGACAGGTTTCCTCTTAGTGTACTTCCCAGGAGGCAGAGAGAAAAAGTAGCAGCCCCTGTCTCCTTTTTCCTAAAGCCCTCTTTCTCCTGAAGTTCAATTTCTTGCAGACATGAGCCAATGGGAAGATTGTTTCTTCTTTCAGACTCTTTCATGCCTCTCCGTACACAAAGGAAGGGCCTGCTTCTTTCTCGCTGTAAAAACACCATCTGTCTGAGCTGAGAATTCAGAGGAAAGCCAGATCTGGCCAACATACTGGAGGATTTTAAAGGAGAAGAGAAAGGGCAAGATGCAAAAAAGAAGAAACGAGGTTTCGCTTTTCTCCTCATAGAATAATCATAAAACTGAGCTGCAACCTGATTTTATACGAGACAGTTCAAAGGTGTACGAAAACCATCCATTAAAATTAGGAAGAGTTCCCACTACGTGAGAGAAGGAAAACATGTCTGCCCAGTCTCTCCTTCTCTTCATATCCTTGTCGTCCATTAATTTCTACTATTTTGCAGGGCAAGTCTGTGATGAGAGGGAGATTTAGAATTCTGATTACAGGATTCTAGGCTGCATGGAGATTTGCAGTGCACATTAATGCCACGGAGAAAAATTCTACAGCATTTACTATTATCCACTCTCCAATAATTGGATGGGTGATATTCTGTATTTTTAAAGGATGAAAATATCATTAAGTGTCGTACCTTATAGATTCTCAACTCTTGATGAATGTATCTTTTCTTTTATGTATACTGAGAGTATTTACACCAAGACAAATTCCTTGTGTGTGTCCAATCACACTTGGCCAATAAAGTATTCTATCTATCTATTAGAGAAATTTTCATGTGTTGACTACAGGTTCATTTATTGGCCATTCAAAGTTACAACGGCACTGAACAAAGTTACTTATGACCATCTTTCATGCTTACCGCCATCCTGGTCATGTGATCAAAATTCAGATTCTTGGCAATTGATTGATAGTTATGACCTTGCAGTGATGCGGGGTTATGTGATTCCCTTTAGCGACCTTTTTACAAGCAAAGGCAACGGGGAAGCTAGATTCACTTAACAACTGTGATACTAACTTAACAACTACAGTGATTCACTTAAGTGTGGCAAGGAAGGTAAGTAAAATGGGGCAAAATTCATTTAACAAATGTTTCACCTAGCAACAGAAATTTTGGGCTCAACTGTGGTCATAAGAATATTTGCTTTTTCTGGAATTTTAAAGTTTAAATTATTACTTTTGTGCCATATTTATAATTAAATCTTGGCATTCTGTTTTCATGTTGGTTTTAGCCAAAGCTTTTTGTATGTACTTTGTTTAACTATTCTAATATTGTAAAATTCAGCTTCAGGAAAGTCTTGGAATTTCACTCTTTCATGAGGCAATGACATAGTGAATGGTTTATGTATTTATTTTATTTGATTCTGTGGCCAGCTATAATAATTAGAAAAAAAAAAGTAGAAATAAGTAGAAAATAAATATAGAAACATATAAAAACTATCAATAAAACTACACTAAAACGAAAATTGTCAGACTTCATCGCTAGATCAGATTCTACACAACCACTATAGAAGTTCTCCACTATTTCCAGACCCCAGGTAGAATGGCAAAGCCATGACTTGAAAACCTTCCTAAAGGCTGGGTGGAACAGGGTTAATGCAAGATCTACACAACTTTTTTAGATAGGAATTTCTTCAGTTCTACTTTTTTGATAGACGAGTTATATAGCATGGAGAGAGGGTTTCAGGCATTAGGAAATTCCTTTCGCGGAAGAAAATTAGAAAAAAATATCAACTTAATTTCTCAATCCACAAATTTGGTGAAGAATTTGAAAGACCATTTCTCCTGACCCCTATTGTCTACATATTAGGGAAAATATGACAAGGAAGGAGCATTAGGTATGTTCGCCACCTTGAGTAATGTATAAAAATAATAAAGGTGGAATTAAAATAAAACAAAACATTTTGTTCCCTACTGTAGATCTGTATATTCCAATTTCAATCAAGTCAGTTGATGTCATTTTAATCCTAGCCTACATTTAGGGATTTTACATGATTATAAGTGTTGTGGTTCTGGGTAGAAGTTTTGTCCTTCCTGTATGGTGTTGATCTTTATTCTTACACAAACAAAATTACAGTCCACTTTATTATGGACTAGATTTGAATATTATTTTTAAAAATAAAATAAATTGAACCAAGAAATTTCTAAGGAATTTTTCTCATAGTTAAGAATCTGATATGAAACAGAAAATAAAAGATCGCCTTACCTATTTGTACTTCCAAAGAAGCTGCCTATTCTAGCAGAAAACACTTTACTCATCATAAGTTGTGGAGGAGAACTGAAAGGATAAACAATGCCATGAGTCAACAATTCCAAATTCAATTCCAATTCTGATATAACAACTTCGAACCGAAGACACCAGCTTACCGTATATAGTGAATTTTCAGTGTTGAGCCCTTGTAACTCATCGCTACTGAACCAAACATCATCTCACCCAGCATGTTGACATCAGAAGCAGGCCTGGCATACTATAGATAAAGAAGATAGAGTATACATGTGTCTAATAACTGTCATAAATTGTCATAGTCTAATTCCACATTAACTCAGTTTTATTCTACAAGCATATATTAGTGCATCCCAGAAGAAGCAAATGCAATGCAGAAGGTGTTTCCGAAGACTTCCCAAGTTCTGCTGGATAATCACCATTGGCAGATAAAGTAAAAAAAATATGACACCCCATAACTACGGACTTCACTAATTTAAGACTTTTTTTCTTTCTGTGGGAAGATATATAATTGCCGTATAGGAAATTAAGATGTATATTTATGCAAAAATACATTTAACCTTTTATACTGTCATCCCAAATGTAGCAATTTATATATTTTTGTCCCTGCTCCCATGCACATTACAAAGCTCTTTTTTGCTATTACAGTCTTGTGGCAATAGGTGGAAATTCAATGTAAAGATTAATTTCCAGATCATGCAAATTGGATTTGTATAGATTTCAGTTGTCACATTCAGGTTACCTGATATTTAGGAATATCTTCCTTGCCAGGTTCTCTGCTGTTCACTGAAGGGCCATGGGGGTAAGCTGTGTTAATACCACTGTTTCTTTGGCAGCACCCACCACCTGTTTTTCCAGAAGCATCCTAAAAGGATTGAGTACATATTAAATATAAATCAGGTCCAAAATTTTGTTGGGGGAGGGGAGAGACAATTAGAACATTTGAAATTTGAAAGGAAGATCTGCTTGCTTGCAATGGTAGGATAGAATGACCTTGGGGAATGAGGAAAGGGAACAATCAGACAAAATCCCCAGTGGCTTAATAGTCAGAGGAAGAAACTTAGGAAAAATCTGCCCTAATTGATCAGGTGGTTAAAAGTGGTAGGGGGAGAATTGACTTGCAAGATTCTGTTCATGTAGCCTTAAAATAAAGTACAATTAGATTACCTAGATGGGTTTTCTGACTTATCTACCTGGAAGACTGAAATTGCTTTTATAAATGACTGTCATACAAACCCTTGTCTATAGTCATGGCAGATATGACTATAATAAAATACCCACCTACAGAACAAGTGAAGTTATTACCCTCTGCTATCCACTTCAGTCCCCCAGAATCTGTTCAATATCCAGCTTGCCTTTCTATTTTCATGAGCAGGTGGGCATGCTTCCAAGCAAGGCACTGGAGTGCATATTTATTCTCCAAGAATGCACTTGGGACCATGTATGACTGAGAAGAACTTCTATAAATAAAGATGCTACAGGTTGTTGTTTTTTGCAACATGCCACCTCCAAATGTGTCTTTTAATAATATGAACTTTAAAAAAATTAGAGTGAGGGGAATAGAAAGCTTAGTGGATATCAAGGAGATGTTCATTGACAGACTAATATTAATAGGAATTTCAGAACATCAACTCCAACTCCTACAAGTACTAGTTACTTCAGCAGTATTTTGCTGAATGTACCAACACTGAAAAATAATAAAAATGAGTTGCTTGCACTTTTTTCTTACCTGAAGTATATGAACTGGGCTTTGCTGAATTTAATATTGTTCAAAGCAAATAAGCTTTTTTTACAAAGAGCTGACACAACTTTCCTATTTCTCTTAATAGTCTAATATTAAATTCTCAAAAAGATTTTGTCTGTTTACAAGTAGAATCTTCAAACAAGATCTTGGATCTTTGAATTGTTTACCAATTACTCTGTTTAACCATGTATATATTGTTAGCCTGGAATCATGTGCCTTATATACCTCAGTGTTTTCCCCCTTCTTTAGTAATGCCATCGAATGAAAAGTAAATGAAAAGCTATCTTTTTATGAGTGTGTAATGTGGGAAGCTAAGCCTTAGGAAAAGATACATGAACCATCTTTCCCCACACCCCTTACATATGCCAAAGCTCGTAAAACGTTAAATTTAATTCTGATTCTCTATTAGAAAACCCCCCACAAATATATCTTAAAATAGCCTTCCTTACAAGGTGCCCTCACGATGTTCTAAGATAAGGCTACAACTCCTTCATGTACAAGCTGTTTGATGAACCTTGGACTTAGAATTAAAAGAGCAAGGAGAACAAAAATATAAAATCATATTAGTCGTATTTATTTTTTACTACTGAGACTTAGGTCAATTGCAGAAATAAGCAGTTTTTAACTTAGCCCGGAGGTGTCAAACTCGATTTCATTGACTGCCACATCAGGGTTGTGTTTGACCTTGTGTTTGAGGGCTGGGGTGGGTATGCATGGCTGGGGTGGGAGTGGCCGGGGCGGGCATTACATGGGACTGCACTTCCACACACACGGTTTTATACACTTATAAAAATAGAGAGGCATACATTTCTGTGATTTTAGTTCTTTTAAAATACATTCTTGATCTACTTGATCACCCTACGACAGAAAGACCAGTTCAAGAAACTGACCCTATAGGAAGACTAGAACTATAAATTATTGACATAGGCTATAGAAGCAGAATCCTGCAAGCCTGGATGGTAAAATATTTTACTTTTCCTCCCTTTTATAACCTTCTGAGTCAAGGACGGCCTCCCGCAGCACTCTGGCAGTCAAAACGGGCCCCGGGGGGGCTCTGTTTGGGCCTGGACAGCCTCTTGCACCACTCTGGCAGCCAAAATGAGTCTGGAGGCCATTTTGGGCCTGGACAGCCTCCTCCAGCACTCTGATAGCCAAAATGGGGCCCGGGAGGCATGTGTGGCCCCCACTGCCCCATTTTCAGTAGCAGAAGCATCACAGAAGCCTGCTATTTCCAGGCCAGCCCCAAGGGCCAGATCCAAGCACCCCATGGAACAGACCTTGACACCCCTGACTTAGCCTAACTTAATACACAGTGATAATGGAATCAAGGAGAAACTTCGGGTATTTTCAGGGGCTACCACAGTGGGTCAACTTCTTTTCCAAAGCACCAGAGGGCAAGACAAGAAACAATGGATGGAAACTAATCAAGGAGAGAAGTAACCTGGAATTAAGGAGAAATTTCCCAATAGTGAGGACAATAATGGGACAGCTTGCCCTCAGAAGTTGCAAATGCTCCATCACTAGAGGTTTTTAAGACTGGACAGCCACTTGTCTAAAATGGTATAGGGTCTCCTGCTTTAGCAGGGAGTTGGACTAAAGGATCTCCAAGGTCCCTTCTAGCTCTATTCTGATTGATTGATTGATTGGTTGATTGATATGAATGTCCCTCTGACTCGGCTTTGGAGAGTACTTGCAGTGGGGGAAAAGGATTAACCAACTGCCTGCCTGTTTTAGTAGAAAGAAATGAGCAAGAATCTTCCTTCGCTCTCATTCCAAGATTATGCCATGAAGCACAATGTGTCCTTGTCACTTTTTACTACACAACATTTTTTCTCATTATTTTATAATACACTAATTTTGTAGGAGCTGGTTTTGTAATCTCCAAAATGGCTATCAGTGGAAAGACTAAAATGATTGTCATGTGCCTGAGTCATGCTATTGACAAGGAAAATCAGAAGAATGAACTTCAGTTAAAAACTTTTCTACTTCAGAATTATCTAGAATTTCAATAGAAGGAGTTATAGAAGTTTCTACCCATTAGCTAATCATTTAAAGCAATAAAATAATAGTTGACATATATAGGAATATAAATACTGAGGAATAGCATTTAAAACTATTGGTACTTTGACATTTCAGCACTAGTATGCCAATGCTCAGAAATTAGTTATTCTCAATGGTAGAAATTAGTTTTCATTTAGATAACATGCTTTTTTATATGTTAAATTATATAAATTAAAATGTCAAAGAAATTTTTTAGATCTGTTTGTATATGGTAAAGCTATTTGGAGAACAGCAAATATATTTTCTTTAGAAGTTTATAGCAGTTTCTATAGTATGTATATTTTTATCATTTTGGAACAGAGTCTAAAAGGGTCCCATTGCCAATGGAGTATCTCTATGACTGAAACTCAGGTTCAGATTTAAATTTAAAAATTTTAAATGCAGGTTTTAAATACCAATTATTCTGATAATGATCTCTTGCTTAACGATGACTTATTTATCAGCCATCAGTACAAAGACATCTTAAAGCATTTTCTACAAGTTTTTTTCTTCACATAGTAATGAGTATCATTGTAAAAAAAAAATAGGATACAGAAATATATTTACAGATGGAAAAGAATTCAGTAAAAGCAAGGGATTCTTAAAAGATGCATAGAAAAATAGGAATGTTGATGGAAATAAAAATTGTTTTGTAGGAAGGTAAAAAGGACTAAAGAAGGAACTTCTGTCACAGTGAACTGAAAAGTGATGAAACTGAAGTAAAAGTAGAAGGCATTTTAAAGATTTGTATGGGAATAATGTGATATTGAAGAACAGAACTGAAATCCAAACTATAAATGTTACTATTCAAGAAAAAAAATAATGAAAAGAGAACCCCAAAACAATTAAGAGATTTGAAAAGGGTAAAGTTTGAATGTACATGTGATATAACTGGAGAATAAATACATTGTTTACTTTTGGAGTGGCTATGAAACTTCTTTAGGATAGTTATTTTTTCCTGACAATTGGAAGAATACTATTATTGTTCCCTAATGCGAAGATAATAATAACAAGACTGGATGCAATTAAAGAATGTGAGTAAAGAAATGGAGGACTCACTGGTCTACCTAGAGATGGACAAGGCTGCTACATACTTGAGATTCCAAAATGTAGTGGAATCCAAAGAAGAAGACCTGGAACAACTAATGGCGGGAATACTGGCTGGACTATTGGAAAAGAATAAAGATGACATCTTGAGGGAGTTTGATGAAGTTTACAGGATTAGCACTAATTATGTGAGACGCCACAAATGTCCATATACGATTTGAGAGAAGGAGTGTCCGGGGTATCATATATAGGATGTCAAGAGATGAAACAATCACGTATAAAGGCAAAGAAGTCTTGATTCTCAAACAAATACCAAGAAGAGTAAGAGAACAAAGACGAGACTACAAGTTCTTAGCAGCTTACCTAAATCAGAAACAAATTGTATTTAAATGGCTAATCCCAGAGGGGATGTTAGTTTTTTGGAATGAAAGGAAAATTAAAATAGACTCCATGGAAAAGGCCCAGGAATTTTATGAGTGATTGGTAGGTCCGGAAGACCAGAGCAGTAAGGATGAATTGGAAACAAACTCCCAGGAAGATCAAGGCTATCATAAGAACAGAGATGGAACTTTAGGAAATCAAGGAAATACTCATCTACAACAGGAGAGAGAAGAAAGTAGGACACATTTTCAGGCACAAGGAGAGACCGGAGCCATTACAAGACAAAGAGCAAAACAGAATTAATTAAATGGAAGAAGAAAAGAAACTACTATCAATTAATATAAATGGTTTAAACTCGACGATAAAAAGGAAAAGGATAATAGCCAAACTAATCAAACAAAATGCTGATATAGTATGCCTACAAGAAACTCATATAAAGAAAACAGATGAAAAATACCTAGAATGTCCGAAATTAGGGAAGCTATTTACTGCACCAGCAGACATGGGGAAAAAGAAAGGGATTGCAGTATATGTTAAAGAGGATTTGAAAGCAGATTGAATATGGTCGGATTCTGAGGGAAGAACTCTGGTTTTGCAGATCTGGATTAATGCCATCCCAATTCTCTTAGTAGTAATCTACGCCCCAAATGGAGATCAAAAAGAGTTTTTTAAGCATCTTTATGGAAAAATAGTAGGATTGGAAAAAATAAATATTTGTATCATAGGAGACTTTAATTCTATTGCTGATTATCAAAAAGACCACAGTAATGGGGGAAAGAACAAAGGGGGGAAAAGAGAGCTTCCCAAGATATGTATGGAAATGATGAAGGAGTTAAATTTGATTGATATATGGAGAAGATTACATCCTGAGAAAAAACAATTTACATTCTATTCAAATCCTCATCAAATATGGACACGAATTGATATGGCATGGATGAATGGGGAAATAGCAAATGAGATAAAAGGGATTGAAATTTTACCTAATGAATGGGCAGATCACAATCCAATTCAGATAATATGAAAGGGTAGGGAAAAACCCAAGAAAAGATGGATGTTAAATACTCAGTTAATAAGAGAAAGAGAATATACCAACAAACTCAAAGAGGAATTAAATTATTTCTTAAAGGAAAATGATAATGGAGCAACTATGAAACAAAACATTTGGGATACAATGAAGGCAGTAATAAGAGGTATAACGATCTCTTATAACGCCAAGAGGAATAAGGAAAAATACGCCCAGCAAAACAAATTATAACAAAAAATTAAGGAATTAGAAACTCAATTACAGAGTACCCCAAAGGATTCAAAATTTAAAAATCAGATAACAATAACTAAACATAAATTGAATTTAATTGAACAAGAGAGAATGATTATAAATTTGAATACAACCAGACAAACTTATTTTGAGCATGCTAATAAGCCAGGGAGATGGCTATCATATAGACTTAAAAAAAGGAAAGAAAAGAGATTTATATACCAGCTAAAAGATGGAAAGGGGGATATACAAAGGAGATAGTACAGAAAAAAGAAATTGCCCATAAGTATTTTGAAGAGTTATATAAAAAGGAAGAAGTTAATGAAGATAGAATAAGAAACTATTTAGATGAAGTGAAGGATAAAGCAATTGGAGAAGAAATGGAAGAATTATTAAACAAAGATATTACTTGGTTTGAATTGAAATCAGCAATAGAGAACCAGAAAAATAATAAATCCCCGGGACCAGATGGGATTCCAGGGGAGCTGTACAAGGCAATAGGAGAACAAATAGGACCTCTTATGGTGGAAGTTTTGAATGACGTCTTATTGGCAGCCAGGATGCCGGACTCATGGAGGGGGGCATTGATTTCGCTGATCCCGAAGGAGGATTCGGATACCCGATATATACAAAATTATAGGCCGATTTCATTGTTAAATACTGATTATAAAATATTTACTTCTATTATAGCAAGTAGATTAAAAAGAATGTTAAATGAGCATATACATGAAGATCAAAATGGATTTCTCCCGACCAGACAAATCAGGAACAACTTAAGAATAGTACTAGATGTCTTAGAATTTTACGAAGCCCACCCCGAAAAACAAATTGCACTTATATTTTTAGATGCAGAGAAAGCCTTCGATAATTTAAATTGGCAATTTTTAATCCAAAAAATTTATAATATGAATTTAGGCACCAAATTTGAAAATATTATAACAACCATTTATGATACACAACAGGCTAATATTATAATAAACGGGGAATATACCTGCCCAATAAAAATAGAAAAAGGAGTCAGACACTCTTACCCCTGCTCTTCATATTATCATTAGAAGCATTACTAATGCGAATTAGACAGAACCCAGACATAAAAGGATTAAAGGTTAAGAAAGAAGAATATAAGTTGCAAGCGTTTGTGGATGATATGATTTTTTTCATTGAAGAACCAATAGAAAGAGGACAAAAATTGATGAATGAATTAGAACAATTTGGAGCAGTAGCAGGACTAAAAATTAATAGGAAGAAAACAAAATTAATGACTAAAAATTTAACAGAAAAACAGAAAATAGAACTAGAAGAAGTTATGGGAATACAAGTGATAAACAAAGTTAAATACTTAGGAATATGGTTGACAGCACATTGTAAGACACTTAAGGAAAATAATTATGATAAATTGATGCAACAGATAAAGAAGGATTTAGAAACATGGGGCAAGCTGCAACTTTCATTAATAGGCAGGATTACTGCTATTAAAATGAACATTATTCCAAAATTCCTATATATATTTCAGACGATCCCAATCAAAGTACACAATTTTTTTTTGAAGAACTTAATAAAATAACTGTAAAATTTAAATGGCAAGGGAAAAAACCTAGAATAAATTTAAAGGCAATGCAGGATATGAAGAGCAGGGGAGGGCTGGCACTTCCAAATTGGGAGTTGTATTATAGTGCAGCCTCTTTAGTATGGTTGAAGGAATGGGTGAATTTAACCAATAAGAGAATATTATTCTTAGAAGGCCATGACTTGCAGAGGGGGTGGCATGCTTTTTTATGGGATGCAGGGAACACTAGCCAGAAATATTTTCACAGACACCTAATCAGAGACTCATTATTAACTAATTGGAAGAAAATACGGAAAAAACACTATTTAAAAACACCAATTTGGATTTCAATAATGGAGGCGATGATTCACCCAAATAATCTGGATATCACTAAAATGATTAAATATAAGGACCTATTAGATACGCAAGGAAATTTGAAATTGCGGCAAGAACTTCAAGAGCGGGGACTAAAAATTGATCAGTGGGCATATCTTCAAATTCAAAGTAGATATAAACAGGACAAGAAAGAATTTGGAATTAACAATAAACTCCAGCAATTAGATAAAATTTTATTAGGATCAGGCAAAAAAAATATAACAAAATTTTATAATTATTTATTAGAAGTAGAACTAGAAGAAGAAATTGTAAAAGGGAACATGATAGCCTGGAGTAGGAATATAGGACGTAGCATCACCATAACAGAATGGGAAAAGGTCTGGGGTAGAAATAATAAAATTATAAAATCGGTAGCATACAAAGAAAATGCCTATAAAATGTTTTATAGGATTAAATGTTTAATCCTTCAAGATTAGCGAAGATGCACCCCACTATGAGTCTGAATTGCTGGAAATGCAAAAAAAAAAAAAGAGGGAACTTTTTTCCATATGTGGTGATCCTGTACAGAAGCTCAAAAATATTGGCAGAAAATTAAAAATTGGCTGGAAGAAATGACAAGAAAACAGATCGAATTCAAACCAGAGTCCTTTCTGTTAGGGATCTTTGATAAACAAATATCAAAAAAAGTGAAATATATGATAATACACATTTTGACAGCGGCCAGATTGGCTTTTGCACAATGTGGGAAGCAGCCTCATGTTCCTTCAGAGGAGATGATTATTCAAAAACTTTCAAGTTGTGCAGAAATGGACAAATTAACTTTGGCATTAAAAAATAAAGACACTTCAATATACTACAACAGCTGGAACTGCTGGTACAAATGGATAGACCAAAGATAGACTTCACACTAAAAGGCAAAAGAGGATAGGATAGATCCATAGTAGTGATACACAGATATATGTAAGGATTAGATGTGTATATATGGCATAAAATAAGGATAAAAAAGAAGTCTTACAAACTGTTGAAGATGAGAATGTTTTTAATTGTTTTCTATTTTTTTCTTTTCTATTTTCTTCTTCCCTTCTTCTTTTTCTCTCTTTCATTTGTGTATGTGTTGTTGGTTTGTTTTAATTGTAAAATCAATAAAATTTATTTTAAAAAAAAGAGATTTGAAAAAGGTAAAGTTTGAATGTACATGTGATATAACTGGAGAATAAATACATTGTTTGCTTTTGGAGTGGCTATGAAACTTCTTTAGCATAGTTATTTTTTCCTGACAATTGGAAGAATACTATTATTGTTCCCTAATGCGAAGATAATAATAACAAGACTGGGTGCAAAATATGGTAGGGGCATTTAATTTGTTAAGTGTCCCAGGAAAACTGGCACAATCCTAATTTAAAGGGTACAATTTGAGAAGAATAAATAACATTTGGAAATTCTGGCTTAATGTCAAGCATACTAGGCAGTCGAAATTTTTGAGAGTCACTGAGATACATACGAATTTGCATAAAAACAACAGCAACCCTCCATTTGTGGATTTAGAGAGTGTCCAATAATATAAAAATGCTTGAACCATGAAATACTTTGCTTAAATATGAAGTTGATTGTTTGCTGAATGTGACAAGACAATATATGAGGGAAGTAAACCATGCATGAGACTAAATATTCAGTAAACAATTAATCGCTGAAATGGGACAAAACACAAAGACGCGTGATGTCTCCTTTGGAGTTGGATGTGTTAATAGGGTTGTGAATATGTTTGCTTTGTAGGTGATGCCAAGTTTGTGACCAAAAACCTCAATAATTTATAGTGAATATTAGATCGATTATATTTTATTACACTTGAATGATATTAATATATTTATATTCTTAATAAAGCAAAGCCTCTATCAATAGCAATAGCACTTAACATATACCGCTTCACAGTGCTTTACAGCCCTCTCTAAGTGGTTTACAGAGTCAGCATATCTGGACCCAATCTGGGTCCCCATTTTACTGATCTCGGAAGGATGGAAGGATGGGTCAACCTTGAGCCAGTGAGATTCAAACTGCCAAACAGCTGCCAGTCAGCAGAATTAGCCTGCAACACTACATTTTAACCACTGCGCCACCATGGCTCATACAAGTTCACTAACAAGAACTATATACCACATACACCACATTAAAGATGTCATTTAATTTTAAGTTTGCTGTCAGCTTTTTAAAACATATACATAATATCTTAGTTTATCTTTATTTCGTCGCATTTTTTCTAATTCTACATTATTTGTTCTAATTTCACTAAGGGAGATTTAATTTATCTGATAAATGTTAATAGATGAGATACAATAAAAGATTACTTAAAACTGAAAAATATTTTTATCACATGAAAGAAATAATAAAAACTCACCTGAAACTGTTTCTCATCAGTCTTTCGAACAGCTGTAGAATCAAACAAGACTTGCCTCCCCCGTCTTTCACAGTCTTGATATACTATCAAGCGGATTTCATTTAGATCAAACCCAGAACAGGACCAACTATGAGTTTTAAGTGAAAGAAAGAATGAAGAGAATTATGCAAGATTTTTTTTCCTCTAGCAAATACAACAGTCTGTAGTGGAAACAGTTAATCTAAGGAATGGGAATTCAGAGCTCCAGTTAACAGTAGAGAAGAAGATGAAACACTACAATTCCATCAAATATTCTGCTTTCAAATATACATATCTATAGCAGCTTTGGGTGGCAAAATTATTTCTTTTCCCATATTTTCTAGAGGCCTAGATACTCTCCTCTATTCACTGTTCCAATAAGTGTCAGCCTTAATAGTGTAAAAAATAACTCTCACACTGTGTCAGCCTTCAAGATCTTCTACTATTGCTTTGCATCTTTTGGCTGCCATAAGTAACGGGGGGAGGAGGGGGGAAAGTCTGGGAAGCGAGCTGGAGGTGTTACATTCTAGTGTTGTATAAAATGAGGAGGGGGGAGTATAAATTCCTGCTTAGGTTTCTATTTCTCGCTTAGCTTTTTTTTCTCTGCACAGCTGCAAACCTTTATCAAAATATGCCAAGGTCAACGGACAGAGGCCTCATCACCACCTGAAGATGTCCACATGATCATATTCACAACTTTTAATTGGAAGAATCATTTGAACTATTGGGGGTGGGAACATTTCCATCATTTTGTATATGTGATTTGCGCGCCTAATTTCTCAGATTCAGAATTCTATGGTTGCTACCACTTCATTTTCAGTAAAAGATATCTTTTCTCTAATCTAAGGAGTCTAAGTATTTCTTTCTTGAATTTTGAATGGAGCACCACCTGACACACTGGAAAAGAATGGGAAGCAATCAAAATTATCATTAAAAAACCCCATGGGGAAAAATATCCAAGGAAAATATCCAATATTGAACACTATTTTAGTTTAAGAAAAAAAGGTGTATATGAGAGGGAATGGGCTTGTAAGTATAGTGTGGAAAAGATGTAAAAAGAGATTTCTCCTTTTCATGCATTATCAGAAGTTAGAGCTGTGCAGATTCTACAGATTCTGGATGCTACAGATTCTGCCTGGCTCTATAGAACCGGTAGCTCTGAAGAGCACCAGACACAGAACTGGTCTTTGGCCCACTGCTGTTTGGCCCACTGCTGTTTGGCCCACCTGCCTGCCTGGGCTCTTACCTGACCTTTATTTCCTGCTTTTTCAACCGGAGCTGCTTTGCGTGGCACAGCTGAGGTTGAAAAAGCAGCAAAAAAGTGCTTTTTCAAACGCTGCACACCCGCGCGCAGCGCTTATCAGCTGTCTGGGTGGCACAGTTGATTGTGTATTACACGCGCTAACGCAGCGCAAAATGTAGTTACCGAACTGGTAGTAACACCAGTTGAATCCCACCCCTGGAGCAGGGGTATCAAATTCAAGGCCCGGGGGCCAGATCTGGCCTGTGGGGCTGCCATGGAAACAGTGAAGGACCAGCCCATGGTGCTTCTGCCAGCAAAAACGGGCTCCCAAGCTCAGTTTTCAGCTGCCACAGCCATCTGCAACCCTTTGCCAATGAAAACAGAGCTCAGGAGGGCTGCATGCTCCGTTTTCACTGGCAGAGGGTTGCAGGAGCCCATGACAGCCGAAAATAGAGCTTGGGAGCCCATTTTTGCTGGCAGAGAGTTCAGTTTCACCACAGGAGCCCCCAACACAAGTAACATTGAACTGGCCATGCCCACCCAGGCCATACACCCACGTCCCCCCGCCCAGGGGAAACATAACCCTGATGCGGCCCTCAATGAAATCGAGTTTGACACCCGAGTTAGAGGAATATCCAGTGTACTTGGGAAACCTGATAGTAGCTTATATAATGCATAGGTCAGTTACACATTTCAATATCAGATGTGGAAATGTTATCATCTTTTTAAAAAGGATGGTATCTTTAAAGGGAAATTCAAAGAGGGACAGATATTCCTGAGTTTTGGGGAAAAATAGCTACATACAGTAGGAACCTATCTTTTTTTTCCATCTTCTTACAGACTTCTGGTTGGTCATAGAGTGAAATAGGACTATTTTTTTAAAATCAGAAACATCATGGCTTCTCTTATGCACTTATTACCTATTTAGCTTGATTATTGTATGCTTAATATAAAATAATATGCCTGTTCCATAGTTAAGAACATGTAATGCATATTTTCATTATAACATGGGATAACCACGTGCTCAATGGCATCCCAGAGCGTAGCGTAGGAAAAAAAAAGAAAAGATGGAACAAGTTTTAACAAACTATATTCATCAACCTAAAAACACTTGTGGACCATTACAACAAGCACATAAAATGGACGGACTCCTAATCAGACCAATAGCACAATTTGGATGATCAGTAATGCCTGTTTAGATCATGACTGTACAACCCTGCACCCTCTCCAATCATAAGGCTTTTTGTGTGACTCCCAATATCTTCCCCAGTTGTTACTACTGATTTTCAAGAAATGTCACATGAAACCTAGCAACTTCATGAACAGATAATGTAGGAAAGAACAAATGCCGAGCAAAAGCAATGCAGGCACAGTAAAATAGATGATATGTAAGCAATTTACTTTAAACACATCCAATTTCTATTTCTGAAGATAAAATTATATACACACAGTTTATTATTAATAGCCCAACTCAATCTGCTGGAGGTTGAAGGTCTCTTTGTGGAAAGGTATAGACCATAAATTTTGTTCAAGTTAAAAATCTAATGATTAAAGTTGATTTTTAAAACTTCCTAGTCTAGCGCTGAGAATGAGTGGCCTAAACGCATGCAGATCGCTTCCATGCTTAATGGAAGACTAAAATTTGGGTCTCTAATATGCTTACCCATTATATTATACTGGCATTCTCAGATATAGTCATGTGAATTAGATAGATTATATTTTATTACACTTGAATGATATTAATATATTTATACTCTTAATAAAGCAAAGCCTCTATCAATAGCAATAGTACTTAGACTTATATACCTCTTCACAGTGCTTTACAGCCTTCTCTAAGCGATTTACAGAGTCAGCATATGGCCCCCAACAATTTGGGTCCTCATTTGACCCACCACAGAAGGATGGAAGGCCAAGTCAACCTTGTAAACACAAACTGATGTAGAAATGGATTGGAATAAATTGCAATAAAAATGCAATTGAATGCCATGTATTTAATAGAATTTGCACAATAATTTAATAATACTAAAAAAAAAAAAACCTTTTAGTACTGAAAAAATAATCACAGATGATTACCTGGAAAAGAACACATGTGATAATATAAATGCAAAATAGTGATACTCCCAAGCCCATTCAAAGCCAGTTTTACATTAAGCTTTCATACCTTTTGGATAATTCTCCAGTAGGTTTCTTTAAATATTTGGAATTCTTTTCTGCCACAACTGATTTGCTTTATCCAGTCTTGGTTTTGAAAGACTGTTCACTAGTGAAGTAGGGGAACTTGAGTTCTGCGCCTGGTTATCTGTGCTGTTAGGTGATTTTAATGTACCTCCCACACATTTTCAGTTCACAGACATGCTGTCACAAGCATGATTTCTTCAAAATAATAATTTTATAGTTAAGTATCCAAATAGATTACTGTGTAATAAGAAATGAGAGGAATGTCACACAAAAATTGGCTAGCACCGACTTGGCTTTTTAAGAAAATCACAACTGAATATCCTCTGCTATCAGAATTACTTCTTTAGATAAAATTTAACCATTGACTATTAAAAGGTATAACCAATAACTTCTTTAAAACATAGAATGACTTGCTTGTTCTTATAAATGCTGCCAGCTTTGTTGCTAGCAAAGAAGAAATCGGATAGTCATGCTTCCTGGTATGTTTCTGTAACCAGCAATTATTTGATTACAAGATCTAACCAGATGGCCTTCAACAGAGAGGTAAGCTGCTTTCTCACTGACTCTTCAGTTACAAACTTGTTTTAAAACAGGAGGCAACACCCTCTTAATGGTCTCAGGTGAGCAAGTGTCATCTGACAGCTCTTAGCAACCTTGGGTCTCAGCACCATCTCTTCAAGGTAAACAGGAACCGGCCACCAATGCTACAGACTATCTGTAAGAAATGATTAACACAAAAAAGAGACCTCCTCACTTCTGCATTCAGACTTGTTTACTACCAGTAACAAAGAATAATCTGAATACAATAAGAACTCAAAAATGGTTATTTGCTTCATGTTATTAGTTCTGAAGAGGCATGAGGACTGAAAGACTAACGATTTACACGTAAATGATCTTAAAAGCAAACTATCAAGTAAACACAAGTTACGAAATTTAAGCATAATTACTCGGCCTTCTTTCTGGGTCACACATACACACATGGATAGGATGCAAATTAAGACAAGGGTATTTTCAATGGGGCAGGGGGCCATTGGCTGGGAGTGAGTACAAATGACAAGCAGTGTTCACTAACATGAGGTATGCTCCGCCCCCTTTGTACATGTGGCATGTCCTATGTATGTACAAAAGGGGAGAGCCTAGATTGCAACAGGTCAATGCTGCTTTAAAATTTGGTAAGTGTTTGATCTTCCAAGTATCTATGTCAGCAATTCATCAAAAATGTGAACAGACTTGTCCAATAATTACCTCTGCACACCACACTTAACTATAGCACTATTAATTGGTGAATAAGGACAGTCATGTTTGCAAATCACGCTTTTGAAAAATAATCAAGCATTTAATCTCAACAAAGAATATGATTTTCTGCACATATATTGGTATAGACCAATTTGTTATACTAGAATTAGCACAGGCTAGGAGGAGGAGTCCTCATTCAGCAACTGTCTCATTTAGTGACCATTTGCAGTTGCGATGATGAAAAATAACTATAACTAGTCCTCACATAACTCACATAACTTCTGTAAGGCAAGAGAAAGCTGAAGATCATAAGCATAGACACAGTTTCACTTAGCAACTGCTCTGCTTAACAACCAAGTTGATTGGTTCCAATTATTGTTACAAAATGAGAACTTATCTGTATTTAGATGACATGCATAACCATCCAACAGGACAGCAACTTTAAAACAAAA